CGGTCATCTGCGCGTTTTTAATTACAGAAAAATTCGATACGTCATTAAGACTTTAACTGATTTTATTATTTCCCAGCATTCACTTAATCGGGTTAAAACGTCACAACCCAATGACGTATGTCAACCAAAAAAGTTACAAATACTTGATTTTCTCCGTTATTAGAGGCAATATAAATTTAAAACTTTGTGAATGTGTTTTTTTATCTTATAAGGAACATATTTAGATGATAAGTTAAAAATCTCGGATTTTCCCTTTATAAACAGCAATCTAACAATATTTTCGAATTAAATTTTCTGTTTAAAAATATTTGAAGACCTATCCGGTATGTCCAACTAATAATCCGTCATTAAAGACTTTCCGCTTGATTTTATCATTGTGTAATGAAATGCTGTGGTTTTTAGCACAACTTATATTGCCCACTGTTAATGGGCTGTTTATATGTCTTTATATGTTTGGAATATTTCCTGATATAGTTTGTCCAAAAATAACTGCTATGTACGTTCAACATTTGTACAGTCCCATACTTTTCAAACATGTATCCTATGTATGTTTTAAATACTTGAAGGGTTGTTGTTCTCTACGTATTGATAGCAAGGGTTGACTAGATTATAGAACTATGGTCTTCCCTAGACTTCTCCTGTTCCGACAGTAATACCATTGCTACACAAGACAAATAAACGTAAAACCACGTCCGGTGCTATAAATTACCATTTGAAAACGTTCATGAGTGGTCCGTGTAGGTGGCAAGACAAAGTTTCTGCCACTATCCAACATACTTTTTTATTTCGCAGTCTAGATATCCTTAACTTCAATTAAGTCGACCTATCTAGCTAAACACATCTACTGTATAAATCGGTATAAATTGTTCTTTTGTTTTACATCTGAATATGCATGCAATATTTGCCAGTGGACATCAGTTAAGTAACAATCGATTGATCAATCAAAATGTAGATGTTCTCAATCGGTATGGTACTAAAAAGTTGAATAACAAAAAAAAAAACGAACTCCAAAAAAATTTCAAAACGGAAAGTCCCTTATCAAATGACAAAATCAAAAGCTCAAACACATTAAACGAATGGAAAACAACTGTCTTATTCCTAACTTGGTACAGGCGTTTCCTTATGTTCAGAATGATGGATTAAACCTGGTTTTATGGCTAGCTAAACACTTGTATGACAGTCGCATAAAAATAAAGCATCATTCAAAACCCTGGTAATCCATAGAAATAGCTATTTTGTTGTATCATGATTAAGTAGCGTAAACATACAATTAAAGATCAATCGTGGACCCCCCGACAAGACCTCTATCAGGATCTGGATTGAGTTTACTGAAAAATGGACCAACACTAAAGATTAAAATGACCTGAAATAATCAAAAAGGACTGTCATAAGTCCATCTTGACCAATATCTATGGACATTAGCATCCATGTCATGTCATGCAATTTACCTAAGTATTAACAGTATACTTAGTAATTTCAAATTTCAAATAACCAATCTGACATTTAAAAAATAATTCTACAAATTATTTCATGGTTTGTCAATTCAATATCTGGTCGTGACATGAAATCTTTTCTCAAATGACAGCAAATTTAGCATAAAGAGAATTTTAATTTGTTCATGTCAAGATTTTATCTATTGAATAAGTTATTTTACAAATTATTAACTAATTTTGCCCTATTTAAGATATTTAATGAAATCATAATTTTGTTATTATCATACCATTATTGAAAACTATAAGGGCAGCAGAATATGAAACAGTGAGTGAAATATGCTACCTTTTTCGAGGCATTGATTCGGACGCGATTTGATAACTTTTAGAAATATGTTTTATCCTCTCGAGGGAACCCTAAAGACTTATAGGTCACTTAAAGCTTTATTGGTATATTGATTGCTATTTGCATGAATTTAGCATGAATTCTAGGACACCTTAAACGTTGACCTTGGTATATAAAATGACACCTGGACTGCAATAAAACCAATGCTAAATAAGAAAATTTGTTTGGCGTCGGTCAGGGATGTTTAAATATGTAGCCATGTCAATTTAGAATAGGGAATTATATTCCAATGCCTCATAAGGGTAACGTGCCGATCTTCACTTATTGATGAAAAAAACTTTTGAGGTGTCCAAAGAATGTCAAGCTTAATTTCTGCCGTATTCAACTGTTTTAAGTGATAGCCGAAATTGCCCGCATGCAACAGCGGTCCATCAACAATGCAGAGCTTATATTTTTTTTTATAAATTTACTGTTTGCAAAAGTATGAATTATTCTAAATACTAAGAATTTTCCTATCCCAGACATAAAACCTTAGCCGTATTTGGCACAACTTTTTGAAACTTTTGGTCCTCAATGCTCTTCAACTTTGTACTTGTTTTGGCTTTCGTACTTTTTTGATCTGAGCGTCACTGGTTAGTCTTGTGTAGACGAAACGCGCGTCTTGCGTATCAAATTTTGAACCTGTTACCTTTTGTTAGCAATCATTCGTATGTTTCTCTGTCCTATATGTTCTCTCATTTATTTGTATTGTAGTCCTGTCATGTAATGTTGTCATTTTAATGTAATATTTAACATTGCCATAAAACCGGGAGGTTTGGCTAGCCACAAAACCAGGTTCAACACACAATTTGTTTTCCTAAAATGTCCTGTACCAAGTCAGGAAAATGGGCATTGTTATATTATAGTTCGTTTCTTGGTGTGTTACATTTTAATGTTGTGTTTCTGTTGTGTCGTAGTTCTCTTATATTTAATGTGTTTCGCTCAGTTATAGTTTGTAACCCGGATTTATTTTTTTCTCAATCGATTTATGAATTTCGAACAGCGGTATACTACTGTTGCCTTTATTTACATAATTATCTATTATTATTGTTATAGAACAATAAGAAGATCTGGTATGGTTTTTCCAAGTGCAGTTGACCGCATGAAAGACCAAGAACACTAAAACTTAAATGAAACGGCGGTAACATGATCGGAGCAAAAATGCTGCCAAACAGTGGGACATCGATGTTCTGCCATTACAAATGCAGCGTTATACTCCCTTACATTCTCCGTCAAAGGAGGTTCAAAGTTTAGTAATCTTAATTCTTCTCGTCCTGCAGTTCAATTCCGGCTGACATCAAAAGGTTTCTGGTTGGTTATGAGTGCATTTTAGATTAACATCGACGTCAGGTCGGACGTGAAACGTTGCAATCGTAGATATGTAAAAGGAGTGTTGAACTCTGCGTACGTTACTTTCGGTTGCCTGTTGCTTATAAAAATATTAAATAATTTACGATGGTATACAGACAACCACCAATAACACAAGGTCAGTTGTGCATTGAAAGAACAAACATATCATCAACATCCAATGAATAAGGGTAAACAGTGACTATTCCAGGGGTGTTCCTTTTTGGTTGACAACTAATGCTTTTGTTTGGGGACAAGTGGTTGGAACCCCCACTTTTTAAACGAGTTGCATGTATTGGAATTCCCCTTAAAATTGGCTGGATCCGCGCCTGGTAAACACCTTAGGCACTTGAACAAAATTACCTACATACCTCATTAAGGAATATACTAGATATTTTAAGTGTCTGCAGTTAAAGTAGGAAAAATGTGATTAATAAATTATAACGTTTAGTATAGGGGACAACTGATGGCTTATAAGTAAAAATCGCTTGTTTGATATTCAAGGACAGTAATTAACCGCTTAAATTGTCACTGTTTCTATAAGGATCTAGATGGGGAGTCTTTCATTTTTGCATTCTTTAAATTTTTCAGCTATTTCTCTATGTTCTTTTTAAATTTTAAGCCATTTTTCCATATTCTTTATAAATTTTGCCTATTATTCCCCACTGACATTTTTTATATTTTTTTTGGCCCATTTTTCGGTATTTTTTGCCCATTCCATTTCTCTATTCCGTTAACCCCATGCAGACTCTTATATCTATTATTGAGAAAGTATGATCAAATTATTGTTTTTCAAATATATACATGTACATACTATATAAACTATTTTAGAGCACTTTGTCGTTTGTCACCATAAGGTTATTTTATCATCCACTTGTTTAAAAACAAGATGTGTTCATTGTACAGAAATGAAGGATCCCATCATGACCCTCTTGTATATTTAGTGTGGAGAACGTTCGATCAACTCATTATAGTTCAAATACATACATGTACGTGCTGTCTAAACTATTTAAGGATGTCCGCTCCTCTGTTTCAAAATATCAAGCTTTTTAAAAGACTATTATAAATTGATAGTATATAGCAAAGGAAATTAAAAAGCAGAAAAAAATGATAGGTTCGTGTCTTTGTTTTTGAGATAAAAATATATAGTCAACTGAAAATTCGACGGGAAAAGATTCTCTCTAACTTTTTCGAACATTTAACGTTAGCACCTTCTTCCTTTCAAAAACTATCACAAATAACAAGAATTTTATAAGATTTTCAAAAATGGCTTTTTAAATTATATGCAATAAAATTATGAAAAGAAAAGAAGTGTTAGCTGGCAAATTTTTCATTGGCACTACATGGATAAAACTAGAGGATTTCGAATACCTGACAAAAAATTAAAAAAAAAAAAAGTTTTAAGATAACTTTGCCAAGAGTCACTGTACGGTTGTCTGCTCGTTTAATGGGATTTCTTAATTGTATATTCGGCATCACTGTCCATTACTGAGATACATAAAGGTAAGAAAAACACATTCAGTTTTATAAGTTTGTATCTGGTATAGAAAACAAACAGTTTCAATTGAAAAAAAAAATGTTATAATTATACGTTCTTGTACGTGATTGTTCTTGATGAGAAATGATAACATTCAGACTGCTATTTAATACAACGAAACGAGGGTAAGTACTTGTTGCATATAAATAATGAGAGTGGTGCAGTATACCTTCAATGACAAATATAAAAGATATAGAAAATATGATGGGCCAAATAAAAAAAAAACATAGAGAAAAATGGCCTTAGAATTTAAAGAATACAGAAATGAAGTACCCCATCCAGACCCTCCTGTATATTTAATTGGGAGAAAGTTCAAATGCATACAGGAACGTGCTGTCTACACTATTTAAGATCATTTTGCCGGTAGTCACTGTACAGTTGCCTGCTCATTTAAAAAGGGAATTTGTTTATTGTATATTCGGCATCACTGTCCATTACTGAGAAATACTTAAAGGTAAGAAACACAATCAGTTTATAAGTTTGTATCTGGTATAGAAAACAAACAATTTCAATTGATAAGAACGTTATGTATAGACGTTTTTATACTTGATTGTTCTTGATAAGAAGTGATAACATGTAGACAAATATTTAATACAACGAAACACAGTGTAACATTAGTAGCCTATATATAATAATAGAGAGACAAGCCATACTTTAATACAATGCTAGAGCTCACTAATCAACAATAATACATTTTGCAATACGACGCGCCCTTATCTGCTTTGTCTATCAACACAACACGTGCCTTAACTGTGAACTATAAAGTTATTTATGAATGAACGAATGAAAGTTACAATATTACATCTCTTCCTTTCTCAAATGAAAATAAATTCTATTTTCAATTATTTATTATTGTTTGTGTAGTCATAAAACCTTTAACTGTCTGTGTAAACAAATAAAAGTGATAAGATGCGTAAAATGATATATCAATAGAAAATTAGAAATTTACAGTCTGTGATAAATATACAATATTAGGTCAATGTCAGAAAAATATAAACTTTTTTGTTTGAGGCTTAGAAACTGGGGAAACGCGAGGTTTTATCGAGCCCTTCCCTAGTTTTATGCCGAATACAAAAAAAGTTTATATTTTTCTGACATTGACCTAATATTGTTTTTATACTGCAACTTAAACTGATATATTTTTAGCTATTTGAATTGTTATACAAATTTCAAACTTATTTTCTTCCCTTAATGAACCCCTGATTGTGGAAAAAGTTATCAATGATGACATTGACATTGCCAAAAAAAATAGCTTTGTTACTATATTTAGGAAATAAACACAACTAGTTGCAGTATAAATATACAATAAATGTACATTGTCGGAAATTTTTTAATTTATTTGTACGAGCTTTAGACACAGGACGAAAAGCGAGGCTCGCCGAGCTTTTCTCCTGTTTCGTAGCGAGTACAAAAGCATTTTATATTTCCGACAATGTACATATATTGTTTTTATCCTGCAACCAACACCCGGCATTTGAGGTTTATTTGTTTAACTCACAATCATTGTCTCTGATATTTCAAAGAAATCGACATAGTTTAAACGCAGACCGCGAAAAGGACCCCGAAATTAACTGTTAACCAGAAAGAAATATTCATATTACCGCTTGCTCAACAAGGAAGCGGGTAACAGGAGATTTTATTTGTACATGCACAAATAGAGCAAAAATGTATTTGTGTACCTATTATTTGTACAATAGAGGGCTGATTGCAGCTTTTTTCTTTCAAAACGATGAAAAAATAACAAGGATTTTACAAGATTTTCAAAGATGACATTTTAAACAATATGACATCCACTTTTGGAAAGAAAAGTAAGGGTTAGCGAGGAAAATTTTTTAATAGCAATACATGGATAAAACCAGAGGTTTCCTAAAATCAGGCAAAAATTCAAAAACAAAAGGAGCAAACATCCTTAATGTGTGTGAATAGTGAATTCCACAAAATAATTTGTACCAAAATTCACAAACATATAGATCAATATCAAACCTCATTGATACATCAGAAAGAGCACAGGAATATTATGCCTCTATGCTCTTTATCGCACACAATCATCGAGATATTTCGGTGTTTTTTTTTTCTCTCGGAGTGATCTTCTATATGGTGTGTTTGGTATAATGTCATCATGAATATTTTTCTATTTCCTCATCTTTCATTAATTTAGATTTTCTAACCTGTTTGAAGTTAACGAATTTCGAGTTATTTCTTTATGTTGTTCGGTCGTTGGCGTAATCATACTACCTTTTTTAATTCTAATTGTTAATGTTTTCGGATTATACGGTGTAGACGGTTTATCATTCTTTTTTTTTTTTAACTAGCACGGTATATCCTACTGAAATTAGATACTTTTACTGAATGATTTTTTTCGAAGTATGACTTCATTTTACTTTTGTTTCTGTGGTCGGCTTTTCGCACTTCACTGTCAGCTTGATCTTTTATTTGGATGATCGGCATTATGGTATTGATTTTCCTTCGAAATAAAAGTTCTGTCGGTGACAAGCTAGTTGTTGCGTGTGGTGTCGCTCTATAGTCGCAAAAAAAATGTATGTATTTCTTGCTTCCAGCTACGATGTTCCGTTTGAGCTGCACGAATCGCCTTCTCTATTGTTCTCATGAATCGTTCATTTTCTGTGTGTGCGCGGGACCATAACGGTGTGATTTTTTTGTGCTTAAATCAATCATTACCATTATGTAATAGTCATTCGGAAACGGTCCACAAAAGTCCATTCTCAGATTTTTCCAATTATTATTCGATATCTCGGACATTTGCAACTGTTTGAATACATTTTTCGGAGTTGATGATATACATGATTTACACACAAGGTTGTCTATTTCAGGGAAGTATACCTTTTCACGTAACAACTGTTTTGTGCGTACTATCCACTGGTGCCTTTTGTCTACAGTTGAATACACGCATCTGTAAATCCTTTGGAATAATGATTCTGTTACCATCAAGTATCATCTCACTATCAATAATGGGAAGGTCTGTTAATTCGTACCGTAGTCTTGAGAACGTATCAATCGCAGCACTCTCATCCTTGTCCCACCTGTTTGATTTTAATGCGATTATAACGGTTAAAAGGTCACTATCCTTTTGCGCTCTTACAGCTATCTCATAAAGGGCCATTGCCTGTGGCCATTGCGTTGTCAGTTAAGTATCTGACATATTCTTCTGCTAATTGAGAATGTTTATATGCAATAGATGTAGTCGGCGTCCGATGTCTCGATAAACAATCGACCGCGTTCACCTTTCCAGGTTTGTACTGGACTTTGAAATTTTACTGTTGTAATCATTGTCTCCATCTTTCAATGCGAGCTGGTGATTTTGCCTTCGGAATATTGAAAATAGTTTCAAGCGGTTGATGATCGGACACCAACGTAAAAGACTTTCCGTACAAATAAAAGTATTCAATGGCCCATCTAACTGCCAATGCTTCCTTTTCTATTTGCGAATAGATTGTTTCAACATCTGTTATAGAACGGCTAGCATTTGCGATTATTTTCCCATTTTGTGTTGATAATCTACCTATCCAACGGGACTTGCATCTACTATCAACATTGTTTCTTTGTTGAGGTCAAAATACGACATCACACGGTCAGCAACAAGTTTGTTCTTTAGCTTGTCAAATGATTGCTGTTGTTTAGATGTCCATTGGAACCCTGCTTTGTTAACTTGCGGAGCGATTCAGTAATGGTTGGAAAAAGTAAAATCACAAAAATACTGAACTCCGAGGAAAATTCAAAAAGGAAAGTCCCTAATCAAATGGAAAAATCAAAAGCTCAAACACATCAAACGAATGGATAACAACTGTCATATTTCTGACTTGGTACGGGGATTTTCTTATGTAGAAAATGTTGGATTGAACCTGGTCTTATAGCTAGCTAAACCTCTCACTTGTATGACAGTCGCATCAAATTCCATTATATTGACAACGATGCATGAACAAAACAAACAGACACAATAGGTAAACATGTCAAAAATTGAGGTACAGCAGTCAACATTGTGTTATCATCTTGAAAGGTTCGAAATAAAACGTCTTACATAAATGGACATAGCTAGGAAACTACAATTTTCACCTACGTCTTTTAGTATTGTTGTGTTCCTTATATTAGGGTCATTATTAAAAAACATGCATATTTTGATAAGGTAATTTTCGGAAAACTGATGTCATTGTTTTAAAAATTAAAATATGTCCTGCTATTCTGAAATATGGTAGCAGCTATATTTAGAAATATGCAATGGTTAAATTTAGGAGTTCCTTCTACTTTACAAATTGTAGGTCATCCTTTGATAGAATCATGTCAATGGTGTTACCAATATGAAAACATGCATAAAATTATTAAAAATATTTTTAAATACCAAACAACTGTTCCAATTTGTTAATGCTTAAATTACTACTTATTAACATTATTTTTATAGGTATGCATTCTATTTGAACATAAATTTCAGAATAAATTGCTGTAAAAACATAGCTGTCCTAATTATGACTGTTGTTAATAATAAAAAATACACTAAAACTGAATATATGTAAAATGTGTAAGTCTGAATGATTAGATAATGCATAATCCTTCGTATACGACATAAAAAAAAACTTTCATTTAATAATAAAAAATAAAAACTATTGCATTTTATATAGTAACACTACTGACCCTTCAGTAACTACAATAACACAAAAGTATCACAATTGACAACAAAGCTCAAATTTTACTTTTATTAAGCACTGAACACAATACAAAGAACACTTAACAAAAGAAAAAGAAAAAAAGTTAATACTTAGGCTAAAAAAAAAAATCCCAAATCATATAACATAAAATCAATAACTAAAAGTGTCAATAGTGTTACTAAATGGTGCCCATGGTGTTACCAGCATATACCAGGTTGTGAAAACTTGGCATAGGTAATACATTATATTGTTAAAACATTGTTAAATAAGTACTATATTTCATAAAAATATGATGCCTTGGTTGTTAAACATGAAACAAAAAACACAAACAATTGCTGATTGTCATAATAAATTCAGTGGTGTTACTAAACTGGTCAATGGTGTTACCTTTGTAAAGGTGGTCTCGCCATTGACAGTAACACCAATGACGTACAGGTGCATTTTACATTTAGTTGCAAAATAAATGCTCCCTTCCTCTATTTTATATGTTCTTCTTGTGCATGTTTCTACAACAATTATCTTTTCATAAATCAAAGTTAAGGAAATCTTTTGGAAAATGATTTTTATAAGGGTACACCATGGACACTAATTTTATTATATAGCTTTCACTTACTTTTAAGATTTTTTCACTAATTTTCAACATAGATTTTTTTTTGTCGACTGCATTACATGCTTACAGGTAACATTGCTAGGGGAGACACTATTGTAAATGCTGAAAACTTAAGAAAGATAACTCTTACCAAACCAATTTTCCTTTTGGTAACACCAGTGACTTAAAAAATGAGACTCTTTTTTTTGTTGATTTTTTTATCATAAAACAAACATACACTATTCAGATCATTAAAAAACTATTGTATATATAAAATTGAAATGCAACAAATAGTGATAACCCGTTAAAAAAAGGATATGAATTAAAGTCATATTTCAGGTCTGAAAAGTACTATAGAAAAAATTAACAGTTAATTCTGGCTATATCCAAGGGTTTTAGAAAACATTACGTAAGGATGTCTTTATAAAATTTCATACTTAAAACTGTATATAGTGTATCACAAAACATTCATATCTAACATGTACAAGTGTTATCTTGATATATTTTCATGTCTGTGACTTAAAAGACCAAATAACATATATTTGCATGTTTTTTATAATGACCCTATATTAATTAATATAGCGCTTATCTTTCTTGGATTAGCTGATACTCAGTCTGCACTGAAAATATGACCATCAAAGTCCAGTTTATTCTTGTTGAACTCACACTTTGATTTATTCAATGTTAGGTTTGTCTCTTTCAAACGTGCGATAAGCTTTTCCAATTGTCTATCGTGTTCGTCCTTGATCCTACCAAATACGATTATATCATCGGATTTATTTCGTACTCCATCTAATCCTTTGTTCACGTTACTCAGCTTATTTTGCAATAATTCTGCTGTTGACGAAACACGTAAACTGAAACGTTTGTATCTTCATAATCCTACTTGTGTCGTGAACGTTGTAATGTTTAACTCCACTTGATGATAACAACTATAAAGGTCCATTTTTGAAAACACTTTTGATCCGTTTAAATCCAAAATCATGTCATCAAGTGTTGGTGTAGTAAAACGTGAACGCAAAATAGCCTTGTTCGGTTCCCTCATATCCACGTATTATTTAATTTCGTTCTGCGTTTTCGCTTTTGCAGCCACTTCTATTTGGGACACCCAAGGTGCCGGTCAATCCACTTTTTCTATTATATCCTGCTTTTCAAGTTTCTCGAATTCTGCACCCACTTGTTTATGTACGTGTGACACGGAATACGTCTATTCGGTTGAATAACCGGCTTCGCATTTTCATCAACATGAATTTTCTTTTTTTCTTCATGTTTTAATTTTTTGATTCCGTTGAACACATCGCAATATTTGTTGCATAATATTTCATACTTATTTGATACTGAAGAAATGACGACTGGTACTATATTCTAAGCAACAAATGTATCATAGCACAATAAATTGTTAACTGTTGTTATTTTACGGTCAGTTTCTATCGAAGCATGCAATTTTCACATCAACTTCAGATTCTTACCTATCCATATGCGAATACTCTGGTGGCGGCGTGAGAAAGTTTTAGTTTACACTTGATTTCATCGAATGTGCTTTCATCAATATTATTGATAATGGATCTTGTGTCGATTAAAATATCCACATTAGAATTATTGATTATCGCGGTAATTTTCTGCTTTCCTTTCTATACTTTGTTCACAGTATTTTCTCGTAATCCGTATCCATATCCATCATCATGATCAGAACTGCTGTCTTGAGCATCGTCGTATTCATAATAATCAACTTTATTGACTCTTTTTTTGTACGTGTTAATTCCATCACGTTTGGATCTGCATACATCTGCGAAAAGATTCATCTTTTTACAACTTTTTCAAATGCTGGACGCTTGTTTGCATACGGAAAATCACCTTCACAGTTTCTGCAAGTATTCATCATGTTCATTTTCTTTACTTTGTGACGTTCTTACGTATACTTTCCTCACAGCATTTTCGGATTGTTGGTAAGATTGTTCAATTTCCGTTTTTCGGAAAGCTCTAACGCTCTAAGTGATGAAATAAATCATTCAAGGATCGTGTCTTCCCGTAGAGCCTTTCTTCTTAGTCTCGATGAATGACAACCTTGGATTAGTTTCTATTTCACTGGTAGTGTCAGTAAATTTATAGTTTACAGCTATCTAGTGTAGTCATGTATGAAAACTGTCGATGATTTCATCAGATGCCTGTTTGACTTGCCTCAATATATAAATGTCATACTCTGTGTTCTTTTTCGAAGCAAGGTAAGCTGTTAGTTTGTTTTAACGGCTACAAAGTCTTCTCCTGTATCTTCAAGGGTATCAAAGACTTCGTTTGCCTCTTTGCCAGCGTAATGCTTTAGGTTTAAACCGATGAATAAATTTTCTAATCTACTTAGCTATTTACGCCACCTTATTTCTGCATTCTTCTCATATCCAAGATAACTTGGAAAAGTTGATAAAAATGCAGCCGCGGTTTAATTGTCAATGTCACTACTAAATAAATCCACAAAATACTTTTTTTTTTCACTTCCAACGCTTTTATTCTCGTCGTCAATGTGACATTGGTAGCCTATATATAATAATAGAGAGACAAGACATGTGTACTGGTTAACATACTTTGATACAATGCTAGAGCTAAGTAATCAACACTAGTACATATTGCCATACGACGCCCCCTTATCTGCGATGTCTATCAACACAACACGTGCGTGAATTATGATCTATATGATTATTCATGAATGAATGAAGGTTACAATATAACACAAATGTAAGGATTAATTGCAATATGAATAATATGAAAAGTGTTTTTTACCTTAAGGATGTTCGCTCCTCTGTTTCAAAATAACAAGCTTATTAAAACACTGTTATAAATTGATAGTATATAAATGAAGGAACTGAAAAAACAGAAAAAAAATGAAAGGTCCGTGTGCTTGTTTTCGAGATATAAGCCATTGAAAATTTGGCGGGAAATGATTCTCTCTAGATTTTTCATATTTTCAACATTGGCCGCTTTTTTGTTTCAAAAACTATGAAAAAATAACAAGGATTTTATAAGATTTTCAAATATGGCTTTTTAAACTATATGTAATAAAATTATGAAAAGAAAATTAGGGGTTAGTGGGCAAAATTTGTTCATGGTAATACATGGATAAAACCAGAGGATGCCAATAATCTGCAAAAAATCAAAAACAAGAGGAGCAAACATCCTTAATGACACAGCAATCAAACGGCACACAAAAACATAAATGACATCTTGAGGTCAAAGAACAGTCTGCAAAAAGTGTTTATACTGTACATCAAGCCATTCCTTATCGAGAAATCTTGTCAATAAAGAAAAGGGCTTGCTAAATCCCCTATTTTGTATTTGAAATTAATTTTTAATAAACCTTTCAACACTTTTAGGATACTCTTAAGGCAGACTTCGATGTCTACAGGTTTCAATATTACTGTATTTATTTTCTCTGCTTTGTATATTTTTTTTAAGAGACTTTTTCTAATGGCGCCCGTTTGCTTGTTTGAGACGTATTAGTACAGAGTAAATGAATGAAGGGGTAGTATAATTTTTATGCCTCGTGTTGGCAAAGTTTTATGCTCTCTGCACATTCAATATCCTTTGCAACAACTTGGGAGACAAATTATTTGATGTATTCTATACAATTAACCTCAACAATCACATAGTAATTTAGAAGCAGGAGATTGTAGGTTTTCTCAGAGAAAGAAGTCAGAAACTGTTCTTCTCTGTCTCTCCGTTAAGTATCCGTTATTTAGTACTAAAACGAAGATTGATTGAAACTGTTCTTGAGGATTATCGCTACTCTTGTTTTTGACTTTAAGTCAGATATTCGGAACCGTCTAGTTTTATCCATGTAGTGCCATCAAAATTTTTAACAATTACCCCTATGTTTCTTTACATTATTTTAGTACATATAGTTGAAATAGCCATTTTGAAAATATTTTAAGATTCATATGACTTTTTCATAGTTTTTGAAAGAAAAAAAAGAGAGATTTCTCGCCAAATTTTCAATTGTTTCTATCTCAAAACAAGGACACGGAATTTCATTTTTTCTGCTTTTTAAATTCCGTTATTAATATGCTTGTAAAAGGCTTTTAAAAATCTTGTTACTTTGAAACAGAGGAGCGAACATCCTTGATAAGATTAACTGTTCCAATTAGTATGCACTAGAAGCGCATTTCGACAATCAATGTCTCTTCAGTGATGATCGAGGCCGGCATATTTGAAAATGCAAACATAATAAAAACGTTGGTATGGCTGATAAAAACACAAAAGACCCAAGGAATAGAAATCTTAAAATGATTTTAATAAACGTATAGAAATCTTTTACAGAGAAATGAAATTTCTAATAATAACCTTGCTTATTTTTTCTGGGAGACCAAATCCTAAATGTCGGATTAACATTGATGATCCAAACTTCCAAAACATCAAAACTGCCCTTCCGGCTCCACCAGGAACTCGAATTATTGGAGGTATGTATTTGAGATTATGTAGAGAAAGGTTTTCTTTTAATAAAGATGAGTTTTATAGCAGGTTTGACTGCATTTTGCATTTTGAGTTTGACTGGCCCTCTGGTATCTTTTGTCCCTCTTATATACATTCCGATTGTCATAAATGTTAAAGGTTGATTTATCTCCCATTGCGCATGTTTTTTTTTTGACTGAAAATAGATTTGGCCTGTTTAATGTTCATAAAATAGTGACTTTTTGACCTGTTGACAAAAATATAAAAATTTCAGGAAATTTAACCACACAATTTACAGGAATAATTTCATTTAATGATATAACAGTTTGACAAACACTAATTTTGATCACTGAGAAGCATATTTTCTCTCTACTACAATTACATGATTAAAACGTTCAGTTAACTCCCTTAGGTGTAAAGACCTCCGTAATAAGTGATAATGGCTGTTGATCCTGTTTATGTACAACATAAAAATCGAAAATCAAATTTGATATACAGCAACAAACTACATCCACTGAATTACAGGCTCCTGCTTTTGAACAAGTAAATACAGGAAGTGAAGTTTGCTGGCACCCAATCTTCCCAAAACCTGAGATAGTGATATGATAGCACAAGAGAAGAACAAACTGTAAAAATCAAATAAAAAGGGATTTTCTCACAATGGCAATACAAATTGTACAAAAACGACTAAAACAAAAATTCTTAAAGACACAAAATATTAATTTAAGAGTACTCGAAGCTACTGAAAGCTAGTTCAAAGCCAGTGCAACTTATACAGAAAGTCATGTAACAAAATCAATCACTTAAGGTTCCACTAAAGTCAAAATATAGGACACTTCATAAACATCTAAACTTTGCCTGTATTTTTCAACCTATAATGAGTAAAGTCCTAAACTATGAGAGCATATGTTCATTTAAACATACTTAACATATACACACTGTGTAAATTGTAAATAAACTTGAAATTGTTATGTTGTGGCCAAACCGGTTCTTGGGGTGAACACTAAATTTTCAAAAAAATCTGGAGGCCTGCGAGACGACTTAATTTGCTTAAAATTGGTATGGACGAATACTGTTACATGTATTGCAGGGCAAGCTCATGTTGATTTGTCACATACATATGTTTTAATGGCATATTTGTCCAATTTCTGTATAGTACCTTCGATATTTGTTCACCTAGATACATGAAATTAACTGAAACTCGAAAATCAATACATTTTCTGAAAAATCAACATGAGCTTGCCCTGCATTAGATATAACAGTATTCATATATACCAATTTTAAGCAAATTAAGTCGTCTCGCAGGCCTCCAGATTTTTTTGAAAATTTAGTGTTCACCCCAAGAACCGGTTTGGCCACAACATAACAATTTCAAGTTTATTTACAATTTACACAGTGTGTATATGTTAAGTATGTTTAAATGAACATATGTTCTCATAGTTTAGGACTTTACTCATTATAGGTTGAAAAATACAGGCAAAGTTTAGATGTTTATGAAGTGTCCTATATTTTGACTTTAGTGGAACCTTAACATTCCATGGATTTACTGTAAAGAGGTGATAGACAGACTGTGAAAAAACATGACGTTGTTTTAGAATAAAAACAATAGTTAAAAAAAATGTTGACTTTTGACGAGGTCAATACGTTATATATTTTACCCTTTGAATCACGTGATCGTATTAACCAATAAAAAAAAAAGATACAAAGTACATGTATTTAATATCTATTTCAAATTGATTGTCATTCTTGCAAGAACATTGAGAAGTCCCGCTTTGTTTTCTATATATTTACGATATTACAATCCGATAGTATCCAGTGCTTAACTATAGAGCCTAGTGTCAATTGAAACTTGCAAATGGACCTCTTGATATTACCCGAGTTCTGCTGCATTTCGTATATACTGTCTGGTCAAAGCGTATTTTTTCGTTTTGTATGACGATTCTTTTTTTAATGTTTATATCTTGTATTTTTTCAGGTTTGGGTTACTCGGGTTTCATCGTAAAAGATGTTACCGACACCAGACGTACATATATTGAAATTCCAGGACAATCCAATCTTGACTTAGAACATCTATTGTTCAACGCCTGTAGATTCAACGATCGTCTGAGAAAATATGTTTTTGCACCTGAAGTTTAACAATACAAAGAAAAACAATTTATCAATAAAATTTCGAATAGCAAAAATTCGATGATATGAAAAGTAATTATTGTGTTTCTTAACATTTATATTTAAAAGAAAAAAAAACAAAATTCAACAGTAGTTTACCGATGTTCAAATCTCATAAATTCATTAAATTCATTAAGGTGACATTTATTAAGATAGCGAACAAAAACTGATGAAATCGCATGACATCGAAAAGGAGCGAGACCGGGTGCGTTGACAGGGTAAGCGTCTCCTGCTTTGCATTTTATACCCGGCATGTGTTTCCACACTCAACCCAAATGTCAAAATCAGAAAAAGGACACAATCAGAGGACAAAATGTGATCAACCGTTTGACAAAATAAGCAAATGTATTGCCATATCTTTTCAAAAAAGTATTATTAAAGGCAAATTCAAAAAGGAGAAGTCCAGAAAAAATGACAATATCAAAAGCTTTCAATCAACGGAACAAGTGTAAAACAACAGCCATATTCCTGACTTGGTACAGGTATTTTCCGAAGAAAATGGTCGCTTAAACCTGCTTTTATAGCTAACTAAACCTCCAATGTGTATAATAAGTAATTCAAACAGATACAAAAGGTTAATGTGACAACAATTGGGATCCAACAGCCAAGCAGTGTTGACATACATCACAGACATACAACACAACTTACTAAAAAAATCAAACTAACAAACAAATTAATCCAACAAAGACGGAACTTGTGTTAATTATAACGTATTTCTTTGTATCAAAGTTGAAAACTAATTGATAACTCCATTTAACAATAAAGAAAGAACAAATGCATTAAAACCATCTGTTGAAGAATTAAAAGCAATTGTTTAGAGACAGGCTTTTTTTTATTAAATTTTCAAAGAAGCTAGTTCCGGTTTACTCACAGTTACTATTGGCTACAATCATAGGTTTCTTTTTACTAATTCCCTAAATATATGGTTTATTTATACTTTTGCCTTAAATATGGGGAGTAATTTGCTTCTTCCATATGGAAAATATCACTTCCAGTCTGATATGATAGCTTACTTTGCACTTATTTCAAAAATGAATATATTGTTTATATGTACTTTCACTTGAAATAGTGGAGATAATAAGACACTTAAGGTTTATCAAAAGGTTACATCTGGTGCAAGAAGATAGATTACTTCACACTAATTTCGAAAATATGTTGTTTCTTTATTTTTTTCTTAAAAATATTGGAGATAATTAGTAACTTCCGGTTTAAAAAATGTGACTTCCGGAGTGTCATTTAAAGGTTACTGTATTCTGATTCTAAAATATATAGTTTCTTAATATTTTTCTCTTGAATTAGTGAAAAAAAGGCTATTTTCAGTTGATCAAGGTCACTTCCGGGTGATATTTTTCAAGGTCGAGTGTCACCCAAACCCTTTGCAAAACTCTATGGCTTTATCATTTACCAGAATAAAGAAAATAATCAATTTACATTAAATAATAGCATTTCAGGGTAAAAAAATTCTCTTAGGTACATGTATTATAAGATCAGTTCGGACTGAATGTTTCTTTTCTTCGTCTCAAAAACCTTAACATTTAGCACTTGTTCTTTCATATCTAGCTTTTACTGCATGAGATGAGATGCACACATAAGCAAAGAGTAAAATATAGAACATGACCTTGATCCAATTTTATTTTGAGTTGACCTAGATGATTTAGGTCTCTATTAGTTACGTTTCATGACAAACATTTATATATCACTGTTGTCAATAACAAAAGGGGAACTAAATTTCATATGGAATCTAAGTATCGCTTCGATGAAAAATGACCAAAGCATCCTAAGGATTTAACGAAATATTTGGAAAAAAAAATAAATTTGTCCATTTCTATTACGGTTGCAAAGTAGAAGAGTACACAGAAAACAGTGTTTCGGGAGATAGATCTTACAAAAAAGTATTCGGTTAAGCAGGGTCAGTTTCAAAGGCGATATTATATACCCAACTTCTAAGCGACGTCTTGCAAAACAAAAATTACACGCAAGAAATAAAAGTGGCGGAAGATGAAAAAAAAAAATCAGAACAAAATGAAAAGGTCTTTCCACTGACAAATACAATTGCCAAAAATAAAAACAATAGATCACAAAAAACTTCGTAGATAACTACAGGTTGAGCAATATTAGCCCTACAAACGAGGGATGAGCTCTGATTCTCCTGATCAACTGATCTTTGTTACATCATATGGTACACCTTTTGTAAAGTTTTTTCAGTTTCTGTTTCACTACCAATCTGTCATTATCATCATAACTGAGTAGTAGAATTGTTTCCTCCATCGATACTGTGAGTCTTATAATCTTGTGTCAAATTACTCTATATAATTTCTTGAGGACATTGCTTTTCTTGCCTATGAACGTCGAACATTGTCAAACCCCTTTAAAGAAGGTAAATATGACAATAATGTACGATCAAGTCCTAAACTGGTGGATAGAGTTTTTACATGAATAAAAAAAGCTGCTGAACTAGAACACATTTTGTTTAGGGGCCACCTGAAGCCGCCTACGGGTGCGGTATTTTTTTCTCGCTGTGTTGAAGACCCATTGGTGGCCTTCGGTTGTTTTCTGCTCTTTGGTCGGATTGTTGTCTCTTTGACACATTCCTCATTTCCATTCTCAATTTTAAGTTTCATTTTCAGGTAATTTTTGTTTAAGCACTACAGACTAGTAAGTATTAGTTACACATTGTATTAAGTCACTAGCTCACTATAAAACGAATATATCTTATAAACTATCTTAACATAATAATGGCATTTAGACTTGTGGCCTATCATAGTGATCAAGTATTAAATATTATGAAGCTACTTCCATTGGTCTAAACAAAAACAAATGCCAACAATAACAACTTGCTAGCTTTTAATGTATTCTCTGCATTTATGTTCAATCATTCATCATCAGTTTCTTCGTCTGTTTTTCGGGCGACACGTTTCAGATTTGCCCTGAACGGCGTGCTGTTTTTATTAGCTGGCCTTTTATAGCTAAATATGCAGTTTGGGTTTTGCTCATTGTTGAAGGTTGTACGGTGACATGTTGTTGTTATATTCTATATCATAATGGTTTATAATGACTAACCAGGTCTTGACGACCATCAACACAACGTTCTTACAATGTAATAATTCCGACTGTATTTTTTTGGGTGTTTTCTAGACAGCAGATGATAGTACAGAAATACGAAAGAGAAAGGCTCCTCTTAATTTATTTGTAAACCAATATACTTAATTTAGTTATCTGATTTTAAAAATTTGATTCCGTATATCTAAATTTCTTTGGTTTGGTGCAGTCTAGCAAGCTTACTATTTTTTGACTATCATAATAAGGATGCATTCTTCTGACGTTTCAGTCTCGTTGAAATCTCGTTCTGAAATTATTTCCAAAACATGTATGTAATACAAGTGGAAAATATCAATGAATTTAAAAAATACTATAATCAAACTTAACTCTGTGAAAAAATTGTGTATTTACAACAAGTAGTTTTTGAGTAATAAAATTTTCAAATTTTATAACCAATCGAGTCAGTCTCAGAAGCCAAAATGTTGAGAAAATTGGCGAGGGGTACAAGAAATGATTTTTCCAGATACATGTACATCCCATATCAATGTTTTCTTCTCAAATTTCTTAGATGTGTATCTTTTCAATCATTTATAACAAAGAAGTTGAAATAATATGCTTTTTGTTCTAAAAAAAAAGAGAGCAACCCCAAATTAACAAAATTGACAACATGGTAAATTTGACACGAAAAAGCATCAATTTTTTTTAAAACTATCTTATATTAACACCTACACATAGTTTTTTTAAGTTAAATTTATTCAGATTGGTCCACTTCATCATAAGTGAAAGTATGAAAAAAAAGTTTAATTGTAGAAGTGTGATTTTTTTCATTATAATAGCCCAAAAATTGGTAAAATTTGATGAAAAATGGGAAAATCATCAAAATTGGGTACTTTCAAATGGCTGTAGCAAAAAAATAAGTGCACCACCATAGGATTTTTTTTTTCACAATTATTTTTTTACAGTCATATAAACCCAAAAATTAGGTTAAGAAAAAAGTTTAATTCTAGAAATTTTTAGCTCCTCAGAGGTGTACATCCTTATTGCGACAGCAATTGCTATTTCAGTATATCAGCTAATCATCGAAGTGTACATTATCTCATACGTGTTAATAAGTAGCTAATTTAAATAGAATAAATGACTTCTGCTAAAAAATTTAAGATAATTTAGAAGTTCCTTTTATATATCATAATGGTTTTCCATATTTTTTTATTTTTTGCAGTAATCGTTTTTTTTTTTTTTTTTTTTTTATTCTATTTTTAGGAAATGACTGAATTTCCAATGAAGAAATATAAAAGTTCGGTAAACAAAGGGGTTAACTATGGTATTAAATTTTGAAATGATTACTACAACCTAAATTGTTCAAACTGTGGTATAAGAAGGGGGGATAATAACTATATCTTAAACTATATTTCACTAACCTTTGTTTATTATTTCCTTCGCAACAGTGAAGCGGAAAAATACTGTTCAGTTCCAAATTGTTTTATAAAGGTATTTCTATTTTTTAACTTTTAACTCAACTTATGTTGCATATATTAAACAAAATAAATAAAATTATAACACAGAAATTCAACAACGCTGTGACAACGTCTTTATGACGTTATATGTACAGAACGTTGTCTCAACGTTGGGGACACGTTGCCAATTCTAGTAATAACTATTACATCCAACCAACGTTGTACCAACGTTATCCCACAACTCTACATACTAGTCAGTGTATATTGTTATTTGTTTTACGTCACAAGGTTATCATAACGTAACTCCATGACAAGACGTTAATACGACCTTAGGCTAACGTCGTGAATATGTCGTGTGTTTGCTGGATAACTCCTACTTTTCCTTTCGTCATTTTATTGCAAAAAGTTTAAAAAGCCATATTTGAAACTTATAAATACATTGTTTTTTCGTAGTTTTTAAAACAAAAAAGTTTCTAATACTAAATGTATGAAAAATCTAGAGAGAATCATTTTCCGCCAAATTTTTAACGGCTTATAACTCGAA